GATTACAGTCACTAAATATACTTTGGTTTTTCATATGAAATACTAAAAAGGAAGCTGTTGGAGACCCCTGAGTCCCTTGGGTAAGTTCATGCTCCTCTTACTACCCAGGATACAAGCTCTAAAAGGCTGCCAGTGAAATCCAGGCCCTTGTAGCCTCTTGAGAATATTTTTCCTATAAAGCTGCAAAACCGTGAGCAAATAGCCTTGTATGATAACTCAGAGGTAGACGCGCAGGGGAGGTTGCTGAAAAAGTCCTGGGTAGTTGGGAAGAATTAGTCTCGTTGTTAGAAAGCTTGTTTCTCAGTCTGGTTTGCCTGGAAGCTGAAGCACCCGCGGTGTGTCCTTCCCTTCTCCCAGCACAGCAGCAGCTGTGTTATGGACTGTCACAGTTTGGAGCACGAGCAAGCCACGGGAGATTTATGTAGGCTTCTTAGGCAGTTCGTTGGTTGGGCTTGGTGACTGCGGTTGATCACTCTCGCTCGGGCTTGGAGGAGGGGGCCACGTGGTCTTCTGGTGAAGGTGGCTGAAAATGAGAAATATGTTTTACATAGTTTGGGAGAAGGACACAGAGGATAACATGAAGACAACACTGGTTATTTAGGAAAGAAAAGAGGAGGCCACGGATCTTGCATGGCTAGTGGATTGTAGTGGCCATCTGTTTTGTCTGAAAATGCTTTTCATAATCTTGAAATCATGGTTTGCAAATGTCTGCTTTGTACCTAACTAAAAAACAGTGCTGGCAGATACTCAGGTTGAGTTGAGGTGATCAGCTAAGACAGTGGTAGTAGACATTTAGTTCTCAGAGGGCCCTTTCAGCAGATAACTTCAGGACATGGCTCTGCTAAACATAAGCCGTTTAAGAGGTTTTAGGAAAATTCTTAAGATACTGAAGGTCCAAACAAAGCCATGTTGTCCTGCTCTCCTTGGCTGGGACTTCACAGCATCTTGATACCACAACATAAAAGATTAACGCATTCAGTGAGGATTTTTCCCTTACTCAGAACTCACAGTGGTCTATAAGTGCCAGCTAGACAAGCCATAGAACCATAAATTCCCACCTGGCCTGAAGGAAAAAGAACATTTTAGAAAACAAAAGAGAGATCCAGGAATTCACACCATACTTCACTGTGTGGGGCAGGAAGTCTCTTGCTGTCTAGGAAGGGATGTATTTCTCTGAGACGGCCATCTGGAGACCTCTAGACCAGATTATCTGGTTAAAAGTTTTCAAGCAAAAATTTTTATTAAAAACCCCAACAAAACAAACAGGAATTTTTAGTATGTGTATTGTCAAAATTACAGACCACGGCAGTTTTGACACCTACTCCTTGTAATCTGGGTTTCCTTCAGCAGGCAGGCACTGGTCCCTGTCACATGGCAAAGCTGCAAATGTAAGGACACAGCCAAGTATAAGTGACGGGTTAGAAAACATGCCCAATGCAAGTAGCACTGCTACATTATGATAACGCACATTTAAATGATGCAGGAACTCTGAAAATGCTGACACGCTGATACATCAGAGGTGCTCCTTAAAGGCTACAATTATTTTCCTTGTGTCTCGTGCTTTGAGACAAAGACAATGCTGGACCATGGCCATGTTTAGTTGGTGAATAGCATCAAAGAGTAAAGACTGGGCCCCTATTTGGGGCTGTACACTCACCTGATCGTGACACGGAGGATATCAGAAACTCTCCCTTTGCATGGAAGGAGACAAGCGGGGTCAAATAACTGCTGCCAAGAAGTGTTTATGGCTCACGGACTAAGCTCAGAGTCCCAGACTGGGAAAGTTAATTCAGACTCCCATGGAGCTAGATGCCTTTTATCTGATTTCTCTCCCATCCACAGACGTGTGAGGGGAAGGGAGTCTAGGCTGATTTGTATGCCAAGGAAACAGGAGATTGCTGGTTTTCCCCTCTGCTCAGCATTGCTGTAGTCATACCTGGATGGCGTAACGAAGGTTTGGATCCCTGGTTCAAAGCTATTGAGAAACTGGACAGGGTCCAGCAAAGGGAGCCCTAGGGCTCATAACCTGCGAGGAGAGGGTGGGGAGGGCTGAGGGAGCTGGGCTTGTTTAGCCTGGCAGAGAGGAGGCTGAGAGGCAATCTTGCAGCACCCACTCCTACTTCAAGGGCAATTAGAAAGATGTTGGAGCCAAGCTCTTCTTGGCAGTGGCAGACAATATAACTGGGGGCAGTGGCCACATATTGCACCTGGGGGAGTTCAGACCAGATGCTGGGAAAATCTTTTTCACAGAGCATAATGCAGCGCGGGAACACATTATCCAGAAAGGCTGTGGATCTCCATCCTTGGAGGCTGAAAGCACAGCTGGCTAAACCCGCTGCAGATCTGATCTAGTGTGATGGTCCTACCTGGCGCAGAAGATTTGACTCCTGATCTCCAGCAGCCCCTTTCAACCAGCATTTCTACAGTTCTGTGAAACCATCCTCCTGCCTGTTAGTTGTTTTTTTTTTTCCCCCTGGATGAATGCCTTTCCTCTGGCCCTGGGCAGAAGTCACACCCTTGGACTCCTTACACTGTGAGTCTGCATTTCAGATTCAAAGATGAGTCACATGGATACACGGAGGGCAATTACATCTCAGTTAGCATGACAGAATCAGGTACATGTATGGGAGGCTTAACTGGTATGGCAAAAAACATGGAAGGTGGTGGAAACAGTAAATAACACTAACAGACAGCCTTGAGACTTGTTTGGATTCAGGTTTCTCCAGTTGATTTAGTGCTTACCGTCCTTGTTGGAGAGGATTGGCGCTAACAGTTCTTTAGCTTCTGATAGCAAAAGGTCAACAAGATCTGAAGATGGAAGAGATGTATCTGAGACTGCGTCTGTTTTATCCTCTTCTGTTTCACTGTTGACTCTTATAAATATGGAAAGTGCCATCAATACTTCTATCATAGAATGGTCATTGAAAATCCTGGCCAGCCTCTTGTGAAGGATATTCTATGTAAGTTCTGTGTATTCTGGGGGGATTGCATCTCGATCGCTCAGCAGCACAGGAGACTCTCTTTTAGACATGCTTGCATCGTTGTGTTACAGACAGATAGCAAAGTATTTTCAGAATTTCTCAAAAACATTTTTCCTTCATTATATTAGAAGTAACCATCTTGGAAACTTAAAAATTGTTTTCCGTCATTCTTAAATACTGGCTTTTTTAAAGGGGCTCGTCATTATCAATGGGACAGTGACCTTTCAACGATTTAATCAGTTAAAAACACACATAGAGTTGTGATACATTTTTTTCCAAGTGATAGGAGATAGGTTCGGGTTGAAGGGGAGTCCAGAAGCCTGAACTCTATTTCTGCAACCATTCATGCAGTTGAGAGTCATGCTAGCTCTTTGCTTACGCTCTATCAGTTACTCTAACTGCTAATGAAAAAGGACATGGTCCTAAAGCCAAAAACCTGACTTATGTTAGGAAAAGCAGGTGGGTCAAAACTCTGCTTCTTTGAAACAACCTGCTTAGGGTCTCTGCCAACAAGAGCAACTTAGCCAGAGGAGTGTTTCAGCTACTCACTCCCAAAAAAACCCCTGAACAGACGCCAACCCCCCGCCAAGTACCAATCCACCAGCAGCCTCCAGATCATCTTTCTCCCCTGCTTTCACTTCCAAAGCGACAGTATGTTTAGAAACTCTGGGTAGGTTACGTGTGAATCACCTTCCCCTGACAAAGGTCAGAAAAGGACACTTCATGTTGCCGTTCAAGATTCCCAGAAGCCACCTCCTACCTTTTCTCATCTGGTAAATGACTGGGTGTGCTCAGGACCTTGTGGACGTTCTGCCATGAAAAAAAAAAAAAAAGAAAGAAAAAAAAAAGGTTTCAAACTTGTTGGAATGAATAATTCCCGAGAACAAACCCCATGGGTTTTTCCTGGTGATCAGATTTAATATGACAGTAATCAGCTTCTGCTTATTCATTGCCCTTGAAGCAAATATCTCAAGGCCTTTTGCAATTCAAGCAACATTCACAGCCTATGCAAATATACAGACACATCTAAATTATGCATTTTAATACCAACCCTAAAATATACGAAATGCAACATAAAAATACTCTTCCAAAGAACAATTTTTCAGGCTACATTTCAGCGAGCCTTGGTCATCGCTACTAGCAATCCCTGGTTTCTGGATTGTACCTGCATGCATAAGCTCTCATTACCACACACGGTTAGTGAGTTCTCAAACACTACTGAGGGATGTATAAAAAAGGAAGATGTTTTGCTCCAGTGGTCAAAGTCCTGTGATGTTTGACCCTGGGGCCAAGTCAAATCCATTTCCAAAGTCCGGCCCCAAACCGCACAGGCACCAGCATGTAGTGCTGCAGGTCTAGAGGCATTTTAATTCTTCCTTCTCTGAAGCAGAGGACACAGCATCTATGCTTCCTTTCGTTCCACTGTTTCCTATTGATTTCAAGAGCTCTTGGGACAAGCTACTAGTAGCTGTAGCAGATACACGGAATACTAGTGCTTCCCGTGCTGGCCAGTTTACTAATTACGCAAGCTTGTATTCCCGATACAGGTAGTGAAGTGGAAGAACAGTCAATTAAAAGACTAAAGCAATTATGTGTGAGGTTTTGCAGGAAATCTGGGGGGAAAAAAGCACCGGAAGAGCAAAACTACTCTTTGAGTCCACATTTGTTGTGTAGAGAAGCAGCCGTCAGTTATACAAAGGGAAGGTTAAAACACACGATTTCGACCATCGTGTCCAACAGAGTTCCTGGAGCAGCCTCAACCAGAGCATCACGGGGGGACTGGGGAGCCGGGGACAGCGGAGCCACCAGGCAAAGCCTGCACCACAGTGTTTGCATAGCTCATAGGTATATGAGTATATATGAGTTCATTCCCTAGTTTCTCCTAATCAACAGTGTCTTTTTAGGATGAGATAGAATTAAAAACCCCTTCTCTTGCTCATGGAGCAGGAAGTTATTTGGTCTTGCAAAATCACCCTTAAGGTAAGAGGCCACAGTGATGCCACCAGCACCGGGGGTGGTTCAGCACTTCACCTGCACAAACAGGAGCAGTTTCCTATTGCAGATCTCCAGGCGCTTCCGTGAGACTTCTGATTTTCGTAACTGGCCGTCAGCCAGGGACAACTGTCTTTTCAGTTGCAGGATGTTCTCCTGAGACGGGGCCAGAGGAAGAAGAGAAAGGTGATGATGACGCTCCAGCCTTGGCTTTTGGAAACACCATTTTATGACGTTTGCTACCAACAGAAAACCACTGTCCTTTTGGAATGGACAGTGGAAATCATACAGATTATCACACAGACCCAGAGACCATGCTGGCCTTGTGGTCATACACAACAACTGATGTATGTGCTACATTCATTTTTCTCCTTTATAAATAGGAGGAGGGGAACCCACAGAAGAAGGGTCAGGAGGGTTGTGGGTTTTTTCCCAGGCTGAGGGGTTGCATTACCTCTATTTCAGAGACGTGTTTTGCTTTCTTCCCCACCAACTGCATCTTCAGTTCTGCAATTTCAGCTTCCAGCAAGTGGATCACTTCCTCATAGTCCTGCTCTGCACTGTGTGCCTGTCTCTGCACGACCTCTGCCATCTGCAGCTTGCTGTGCAGCGTCCGGTTCTCGGAGAGGAACCCCAGTGCTTTCTGGAAGCAGCGAGAAGTTCTGGTGAATGCACCACATCCCTGTCAGCCGCCGACCGCCGCAAGGCCCCCAGCAATCTCTTCACTAACCTGGTTCAGTCTCTGAAGCTCATCTTCCATTGTCTTCTTGCTGGTCTCCACCTCTTTCAGGAGAGACTATGGAAAATATTTTCACTGGATTAGAAGCAACAAGCGATAGGACATTCTCTAGAAGATGCCCTGGTCTTGTAGCTCCTACCCACCAGAATAACATTTTACAGAAGCAGTCATGTGTGCTGTCCCCCACCACAGTGCTTTTTGGGCTGCGACCTGCATGCCTGCAGAAATCCACCTGGACACCGCCATGGTGCGAAACAGCCATGCTGGCAATCAGCAGCCAGGTCAGGATGGGAGGACAGGCGGTGCTTCTGTTATTCATGGACTTGAATTATTTGTGAGACACGTTTTTGCATTTTTAAATATATTTACTTACTGCTAAAAAGTGACCGCATACTTTCAGTACAAATAAGTTTTCATTTGAGGTTGAGAGCGAGAAAGAGGCAATTAAGGAGAGCTGAGGGTGAGAATCTCCTTTGAGGAACGCGCAGAATGCAAGCTGGTGACTTCTTAAGAGGGACAGGCTACACCATTACCCTCGAGTACAACTACAGCGAGCTACAGCAGAAGGCACCAGCCAAGAAATCTGCTCAGGAGAGGCTCCACCTTTAGCCTTCGGACTTCTTGCCGCAGATCCATCATTTCCAGTTGCAGCTGCTCCAGCTCCTCATTGTCATTACAGCTGAGAGAGTCGAAGGTCTGCAAGGCAGAGGGACAGACAGCATCACGCACCGCTTATGCTTTACCAAAAGCATGGAGCTATATGGCAGGCGTATTGTTTTCCATACCCAGAATAGCGATGAATCAAAATCACTTTGAAAAGGAGTCAGCATTTTTATGCAACAGATCAAAAGGCACATTAAGTAATTCAACTGCAGCGTTTTTTTCACCCCACGGGATTTCACTCTCTGATCCCTGACATAGCTGGAATAGCTATAGAAGTTTCATTTTGTGAACCAGGTGAAATTAGTTGGAATTGATTAATTATGGCTTATTTTCCTTCTGCCTCACTGCCAGCCTGCTTCCTTCGTATCATCCCATAGATATTGTTATTTCCTTATTAAAAATGAGAAGTTTGAGGTCTTTTATAGAATTTCCTATAATCAAAATGATTAATGCATAGTTCTGCCTTCTCTTCATAACTCTAGAACAACGAGAAAATGGTAATTTAGCTTTTCGCATCTCAGAATTTCATGGATTTCACATAGAAGATTCATGGATTCAATGTAGAAAAGTGTTGGACTGACTGACCGGAGAGTGAAAAGCCGATATATCCAGCAAACTGGCCACTTCGTGCTGCGTGAAGAGCATGGAGTTGGAATCCAGACTAGCCTTGTCCAGCTCCTCCTGCATCAGATCCCTGAGTGCTTGGAGAAGATCTGTGAGAAATAATCAATTTTTACCGAGCTAAAAGAGAAAAGCGCTGTGTGTTAGGAGAAAATGCCACCGATTTTGGGGACATCCACTGGCTGCCAAGCAGAGCAGGTTTAGAGATGCCAAACAGTCTTCTCTAACACTCCTGGGTTCTTTGGCAATCCCATCAAACTTAAATAAGTTGTTGACAATCTTTACCAGACTAGTTTCTTATCCAATTGAAAAAAAAATTAAACTTTTAAAAACCAAAACCCCCAGATATTTTGACAGCGGCGTTTTCACGATTGTGGTTCTCAGAGTTTTAAAATTTTAAGCCAAAACCACATTTTTCTGACAAAAGGCACCCGCCTGCCTGCTGACATTTCTTGTGCTGCTGATTTAAACAAAAAACAATTCAGTGACGTCGGCACTTAGAAAAGGTGTTAAATTGACAAGTCTGAAAATCCAGATTCATTTTGCTTTCCAACACGGAGAAAAGCACAGTGCGAGGGGCTGTGTGGGACAGACGGGAGCCGGCGCCGCGAAGGGGAGGCGGCACCGGGGTCCCAGCCCCTCCAGTCCTCAGCCCCTGGGCTACAGCAGGAGCCGGAGCCTTTCCACAAGAGCAGCATCTTCACTGCCAGCACATTTGCCGAATACCCCTAATCATCCTCATTTCTATTGCCACAAACTTATGAAGCCAGTCGCTCTTCGGAGAGGCGCGCAGTTCCGTGTGCCATCGCTCGCGCTGCACAAGAACACCTGTCTAAGAGGCGTTGCGCTTTGCAAGCCTGTTCTGTCTGGTGGGGACATTGCTGATGGCTTTGAATTTTTGTGAAAGAACTTTTGGGGAGCAGACCCTGCAGGTCAGATATGCTCTGGCAGGTCACAGAAAGCAGAGCAGGCTTTTATTTTCTGCGTGTCCTGTGGCCAGCTCTTGCTTGGCAAGCTAGGGGTTTAAGGAAAGTGAGTCCTCGCACCGACTTCCTTGTATTTTCATTTTACATACGCTTCTACCAAACACCTTCTTTTGTATTTGTAACTTTTCTTAGCTGTTTTGAGGCTACATCAATACCCAGCCAGGTATCTTACCTGCCACCTTTCAGCAGATGCCTCTCTCCTTTCTCAGCCTCCAGCAAAGCTACGCAAAAATGAAAAAGCCCGTCACGCGCAGAGCTGCCTGCTCACCTCCGTAGGCCACTGTCCCCTGTGAGTCTGTGGTCAGGCTTTGCCGTAACTGCCTCTTCTTCTCCTCAGTCACATCCAGACCAAGATACTGCAGAACCTTGAGCAGAAACAATAAGCCTTTAAGAAGAAAAATACTGGAAAGGCAACTCTTTGAAGTAGGTGCTGGGAAGACACTTGGTGCTGGGTCTTCTCCTGGCAGTGGCTCTCCAGGCAGCATCTCCCAAAGGAGCAGGGCTTGGGCTGGATTTCCAGTCTCTCCTTTCCTACACATGTACAGAAATGCCTGTTCCTGAAGACAGGGACAAGTTCACATCTCTCCAAGAACATTTTGTACAGATTTGCAGCTATGACAAACTGTCAGGAGCTTTATCAAAAGCCGGCGGAGCTGTAGCAAGGCTCAGCTGCCAAGAGCTCAGCCTCTCCGCTTTCTTACTGCCCAGGAATTGTGTTTGGGAGCGAGAAGATAAAAGCTATTCTCTGTGGCAACAGGAGACATTCAAACATTTTCCTTTTCCACTGCAGCGTTTGCTTTCTTATTATGCCTGATGCCCTGTCTTCTACTGATATTTATCAATTCAACCCCAGGCCACCACACAGAAGCAGATAAACCTGTGCAAACCCCACTTCACTGCTGGCAGCAGCAAGTAAGAGCTTTTAAAAGACAAAGTCAAGCTCAGCAGATGCTGGGAAAGAGCCCAAGTTAAACGCTCACCTGTCCCAGACTGCACCCGCGGCTCTGGCTCACGTGTGTACAGCACCTCCTGCATGGTCCCCTGGAAAGGGGCTGGAGACAAGTCCTTGCTCACGTTTCTGTCACCAGCAAGCCCATGGGACCCGTCCGCTCTCACGCGCTGCCTGCGAGGGCCCATTTGAGTCCCACCTCCCGCTCCTCTGCCTGCCACCCCTGCACAAGGCAGTGCTGCAGGCTCCTGGGCTTCGGGATGCCCTGATCCTCAGTCTGTAGATGTTGGCATCTGGCGTGGGCAACCCCAAAACCATCTCAGGTTGTGCCGGTCGGTGTGGATGTCCTGACCCTGGCACCGCTGCAGCCGCCTGCTCATAACACTGGCTTTTAAAAGGAGAAGCCAAGCGTCCCCACTCCTCCCGCCAAAGAGGAGCTGCTTTTATACCCGTGACGAGCAGAGGTCGCTGCGAAAATGCAATCCTAAATCCCGCTTTAGGAGAATTATGCAGGCTTAGAAGAAAAGTTCCTGCTTGTGTGCTGCCCTCCTGGGAGGCGAGAGCAGCCGAAGGGCGAGCGCTGCATCTGCCGTCGGGTGGCAGCAGATACTCGTTACATCGGGCCCTCCCGGGAGTCCCCCTGCCCTGGGAGGGGTTGCATTCCCACCGTCCCCCGTCCCCCCCCCAAAATCCAGCAGTACCCAGGGGGGGACATGCACCCCAAAACCAGACTGGGGGCACGGCCCCTCCAAGGGCACTTTGCCTTTCACTGGGGTCTCGGTCAGCAAATGGGCAGCCCCACTCCCTGCCCTTTGATGGTGCCCACGGAATATATTTTCCATAAAATGATGAAAGGAGCAGCGGTTCTGGCTGGATCCTTGGTGAGATATCTCGTATTTCAGCCTTCCCTCGCCCACACCAGGCTGCCCGAGATCACCCCAGCAACGACAGCAGCACCGGAAAGTTTGGAGGGCAGCTGCCTGCACCTACAGCCCTGAGTCAAATGCATTACGTCCAAGGGAGATGCAGCTGCCAGGAAGAGACTTCTGGAGCTCCCCGGAGCATTGGGAAATAGCCAGGATGAGCCAAGGTGTGTTTAAATGCCCCTTTTGACACAATCGGGATGTTTCACTATGCCCTCTTCTCCCTTTTTGCCTTTAGAGGCTGGCCCCAACCTCCAGCAAACTCGACTGAAGAGTTGAGACCCATTTTTTATTCCAGACTCCTGGTAATAAATACAGTTTGGTGGCTGACTCTTATGCCTCTGTCTCAAAAATCAGATTGATTACGTGAGGGGTGTGATGCTAACAAGGAAAGCAATGTTCTGAGCACCGCAGCCGGCCTGTGCTATCGCTATTCCCAACGCAGCCCAGTCAGCCTCCTGGAGAGGTGAAGGGGAATTAGGCTGGAGCAGGCTATTCAGCGGAGGGTGGTATACGTGTAGATTAGAGCACTGATCAAGTGCAACAGCTTTATTCTGTGCAAACAGGCAGGCTGGTTCTCTTAAGCTGTATCTATTCAGGCTTGCATTTTTTAATTCCCCCAAAAAACCAGCGACAGTGACCCTCATGCTAGCACTCGGCCCAGTCCTCACGTGCCTGAGTGCAACACTGGTGCAAGAATCAAAGCTGAAAGGTCTTGATCAGTTCTTTCACAGAAAAGCAATACAAGGAGACCATTCACGTAAGCTAATTTTGTTTGCCGATAACGTGGCAGCTGGAAGCAAGGAGGTATCACGCTAGTGGACTATTTTCTGCATAGCACACCTTGGGAGAGGATTGAGAGGAGACCTCGCTTTGGGGAGAGGGACCCATTCCACTTACCAGTTCCAGTTTCCCATCCTTGAGCCGGACATGGGGATCCAGCGCTACTTTTGGTTTGGTGCCTGAAGCTGCTTTATGATTAGATGCTGAAGTGGGTGCTGAAAAGCCAAAAATAAATGTTAATGGAAGAGCACTTGGCTAGAGGAAAGAGGTGCCCGCAAAACAAAATTCAGAACTCCTGTTACATGAAATATAATGCGTGTGCAGCAGGCCAAAAATCAAAGAGCAGGATTTACTAAATCCGGTCCTGGAAGGCTGAACTAGGCCACCATTGAAAAGATTGGATACTGGAGCAAGCCCTGACTGAAACTGGGCTTCTGCACGGTTTAAAATGGGATGTTTCATCCAAGGACCTAGGACTGCAAAAATAGCACTTTGGAAATTTCCAATCACAAATCTTTGTGGAGTCTTGGGGTCTGTAGTTATGGTGATCTGTGAAAAAAAAAAAAAGTCTGCCTGAGTCTTGTCTTCTCTAGTTGATTAAGCAAAACTGAAACCCAACATTTTATAAAATGCAGCCTTGGCTTTCACAACACCCATGGAAAAGAGAATCGACAGATTAAAAGCGATGTGGACAAACACCAGTGCAAGACTTTTTCCCTCCACAAGACCGCAAAAAGCCTTCAACCCTTTTCCCTCAGTTGGGCAGGCAGGTTTTTTTGGGTAGAAGGACCCACATGCATTGCGAGGCAGACACAGCGGGAGAAAGAGGCAGAAATGGCAGCTGCTTTGCTGGTGAAAAGCTGTCATGAGATCAGCAGAACCAGCTGCTGACAGCTGGCTCGCCATTACCGGCACTGCCTTCACAGCTGAAATGGTAGAGAGCGCAAGCCCTGCTGCCATGCCCTGCCACTTGTGCTCCTCCATCCCTGGAAGGAACCCCACCTTTCCATTGCGATTAACCCTTGCCTGTAAGAAACCGTGACATTCCCTGGGAAGAGGGCTGCAGAAGGCGTTACTCGCTCGGGAGCTCCCCTGCCAGACTCCAGAAGGGTGCAGGACTGCTGTCCCTGCAGCCCTGCTGCCCGTCTGCCTGCCCGCCTGCCTGCCCCTGCTCACCCTCAAGCCATCAGCCCAGGTCGGTGACAAAATTCCTTCTTGTGCCAGTGGCACAGGATTTGTCCAGGGAGCAATTTCTTTCGCCTGCCTGGGATCTGATTAACATCACGGGAAGCCCTCTCTTGCCGAGTAACACTGCTTCTCCTGAACCTCTCGAGCACTTCTCACCACACCCTCCTTGACTGTCGGGGCAGAGACCAGGCGCAAGGAGAAGGCAGCAAGAAGCAGCAGAGGTGATGCACAAGCATAATCCTCCTAATCTGGGTATTCATCCACTCTGCTAATGCCAGGAGCTAGGAAGCAGCAAGAGGTAATAAATGAGTTTGCTGGATCGGCCACCAACACTTTACTCTCCAAGATCAAGGGCAGAGCTGTTACCCTTTGACACACGGCTGATCAGGATTAGCTCCACGTGGCTTTGCTGTCAGCTCTGGACTCGGAGATATCCAGGGCATCCATCAGGCACCCACAGGGAGGTAGGGATCTGATTAACATCACGGGAAGCCCTCTCTTGCCGAGTAACGCCGTTGCTCCTGAACCTCTCGAGCACTTCTCACCACACCCTCCTTGACTGTCGGGGCAGAGACCAGGTGCAAGGAGAAGGCAGCGAGAAGCAGCAGGCTCCAAGCCTGGCTTGCAGCTCTTTCAAAGCCAGTTGTCTGTTTTCATGGATGGCAATACTGACACAAAGCCTCCTCAGCATTTCACATTAAAAAACCATGTGTAATAAAATCCCATAGCTAAGTCAGGAGGTGATTAGGTCATTGCTATTTGCTGGATTGCCTACATGACCCAGGGCTTTGCTCCCCATCACTGGGAGCTCTGGCTGCTGGTGGTGGCCACCTAAGAGCCGACCTGAAATCAAGGCTTGTTGTGGTTTAACCTCAGCCGGCAACTAAGCCCCACCCAGCCGCTTGCTCACTCCCCCCCAGTGGGATGGGGGAGAGAATCGGAAGGGTAAAAGTGAGAAAACTCGTGGGTTGAGATAAAGACAGTTTAATAGGTAAAGCAAAAGCTGCGCACGCAAGCAAAGCAAAACAAGGAATTCATTCACCACTTCCCATGGGCAGGCAGGTGTTCAACCATCTCCAGGGAAGCAGGGCTCCATCACGCCTAATGGTTACTTGGGAAGACAAACGCCATCAGTCTGAATGTGTCCCCCCCCTTCCTTCTGCTTCCCCCAGCTTTATATGCTGAGCATGACGTTCCATGGTGTGGAATATCCCTTTGGCCAGTTGGGGTCAGCTGTCCTGGCTGTGCCCCCTCCCAGCTTCTTGTGCCCCTCCAGCCTGCTCAGTCGGTAGAGCATGGGAAGCTGAAAAGCCCTTGACTAGTGCAAGCACTGCTCATCAACAACTCAAACATCGGTGCGTTATCAACATTGTTCTCATCCCAAATCCAAAACACAGCACTGTACCAGCTACTAGGAAGGAAATTAACTCTATCCCTGCCGAAACCAGGACAGGGTTGGATGCTCGGAGGCAGGGAGGACAGACCAAGAGCAGTCCCTGTCCCACGGTCTCTGCAGTGCAGAGCACGGAAGGTGAAGGCTGAAGCCTGCTGAGCTTGCCCAAGGTGAGACGGGCATCCCTGCGAGCAGAGCGCTGACGCACACCCAGCCCAGCACCATCTGCTCCCTATCTCTCCCACTAATCCCAGGTGTAGACTAAACACAATTTAGCTTGCAATGCTTGCTTTTAGCCTTCCAGATGGAAATTACAACACGGCACAGGGATTCGCAAGCGGAGCCAGTGCCTTGGCAGCGCATGGGGAAGGGCCATTGGACTTGTGGCCACGAGAATGATGGGCTGTGCTTGCGAGGGACGTGCTAGGGAAAGCCCAGCTTTTCCTCTGGGCAGAAGCAACCTTCATATCATAGGGATATGGGGTATCTTGCTGGAGGTCGTCTCCCTGGACACTGGATCATGGAGGTTGTTGAGGATTCCTGTGATTCCTAAGGGACCTGTGAAGCTGCAGCGTGATTTAAGCTCACCCCCTGTTGCTGCCATTCTATCGGGTGAACAGTAGGTCTCTCCCACAAAAGTTAAGAGCTCAGCCCAGGACTCAGAGCATGGAGAGAAAACAGCATGGAACAGTAAGCCAGAAGTGAAGCTTGGATGTAGAGAGAAATCTGACTTAATCACATCTATAAGCAATTTCCCAGTTTGACCAACTGAGGGCAACCTTAATGTCTGTATAATGCCCAGGGTTGCCATGTTCATTACAACTATCATTAATTGACTCTTTTTATACTGTGTCTCTGAGGACCACCCATTCCCATCAGAAGGCAATGTTGCCTGCAGTGGGACCTGCTGCATGCAAGTCTGACATGACCTTTGCATCTGGGCAAAGACACTGCTGCAAAGGAGCAACAGGCTGAGAGTGGAGGAAGTTGTTGTCTCCTATTTCCAGTCCTCTGCACGCCTTAGTAAAGAATTTTGCTACTATGGACAAACATGGACATAATTACTACCCGTTGAGTAGCTGCTACCTTCCCTCTCTCCTAGTGGGCTGAGACTCATTATCACACCATTAGGTTCCACTACAGCAGTATAAACACTGATCAAAAATAATTTCATCATCCTCAGCACTGAGGAGCCAAGGCTGTGCTTGTGACCCACACAAAGAAAACAATTTAGCAGGACTCTTACCTGAGACAGTAAGCTCTGGTGGGCAAATGTCCGGTGACAAAGAAGGCACAGGAAAATGATTTTCATGTCTATTCTAGAAAAAGAAGACAAAACGGCACAGGCTATCGCTAGGCAGAATCTGTTGGTGTAAATAAAGAGCAGAAGATAGAGGAGTTTAAGAGAGAGCAATTCATCTGGCCCATAAAGAGCAAAGGCACCACATACACCTCTTGTGCAGATGGGCCACAAGAGACTCCAGGGGTTTCTCTAGGAGCACTTGGCAGAGGCACCTTCCTGACCCACCTCAAAATCTCTGGTCACACACAGAAAACAGAGTTTGTCATTACTGTAATTGAGAGCTGAGGATGAATTTGACCTTGCATGCTTTCTCCAGAGGTTCTCCCTAAAGCTCTGCATCCAACACACCAGTGAGGTCCTGATTCTGGCCACGGCCAGTTGTGCTATTTACCCAAAACTCACAATTATCACAGTGTGCATGACAGGAAGCCAAGACCATTGCCCACCCTTTCTTAAGTGCCAGGTCATGGCTGAAAGCACAAGTAAGAGGGAAAAATAGAGTCACAGGGTGGATATGCTGAGCACCACTGAGACAGTGCTTCCGCAGCTGGGAACTTACATGCAGAGAGGGGCACAGGACTGGTGCTGAGGACATATGGACAGGTAGCACAGGCGCCTGAGCACGCCTTCCCTAATGTGGAAGCCTAGACCTCATTAAAAATTCCATCTTTTAGCAGCAAAGTGAAGAAAGGAAGAATTTAATTCCAGCCAGCGATGTAATTTTATATAGGTGCACAACATTACATAAGCACACCTTCTGCTGGATGATGAAGGATCTAACTATACTACTCAGCTCTATGTATATGGGCTAAGGCTGACTTTCATAAGCATGTCTCCAGCCTGGTACACCAAAGGCAACATATATAAGACATTCTTGCAAGTCCATGTCTCCACAGGGTCTGGAAAGAAAGACCTTTTGTGAATGATGCTTGTATGAAAGGAACATCCAGCCAGCCTTTTCTAAAGGAAGTTTACGTGGAAGAGGGCAGAAGATACACCCGGCGTTGCACCAGTCCAGGAGAGGAGTGACAAATGCACAGAATCCAGCCACAGACCTAAATTGTCGTGAGGGTTGTGAGGTTAAACCCTGTCTCACCACGCATAGCTCGAGCACTTGTCTCTGCAAACACAACATGGAGCTAGGCTTCACAGGAAGCATGAGCCTGGCTTATCATTAGACTAGTGAAGAACAGAAATGGGCTGCTTAGGAACGCCGTGGATTCATCCTCATCAGAGGTCTTTAAGAACAAAGAGTTGTTCCTGCCTTTGGGTAGGAGACTAGATCAAACCGACTCCTGAGATCGCTTCCAGCTCTATGACTGGTTGAGTTGCAGGTTGCTATCCACAGAAGGGTTTTGTTTTTTTTAAAACCTGAGACTTCTGAAACAGGTCTGAATGCAGGCCCTGGAGATGAAACTCTTCTCATTACCTCCACAGATCCTTCGCTGTCTCAAACCCAAGACAGAAGAAAACAATATTTCAGATTTAAAATACCTGGCTGTAAAACAGGGCTACATACATCAGCATTACAGACTTTCCACTGTCCAGAAGAACTACCACGGAGTCCCTGAAGAAGAGTTTTCTGGTCAAAGAAAGATCACAGGACCGATGTCTGTGGTCTTAGATATGAACTTTAACCTACCTCTGGGGACCTCACATGGACCTTCAGTCTGCAGGAACTCAGGCCGTTTCCCACAGCCTTTGGAGGTGGTGACGGGATGTTGTTATGAACTGACAGTCCAGGATGTAACCGTCCCCTTCCAGGAATAAAGGCCACTTCTGTGTTTCCCTCGTGTCTTAAACAAACAACAAATACAGAACATTTTATTAACAAAAAAAAAGCACAACTTAAATTTGCAGAACTTCCATGCCCATGCTTCTTTCTCCGGGATAATCTCACTTAATCCCATGTAGCCTGCACTGGTGTAGTTGGATCTCCACCAGCTGGGTTGCTTGTTTGAATTTCAGTTCTATTGCAGAACTCTGCTGGGCAGCGATAGGGGATATTCATGAGGACCAGAACGTTGGGAAGGTCTGGATTACACTTCAGGATGATCCATGCATTCAAGATTTCCTTATATGATCACCTGTCAGGACCACCTTGAAGCATCATTTAAGACTAATAATCCTTATGCTTCTTGAAGCCAAACATTGGTATGAGCTGAAGGGTTTTTGCCTAAGACTCAACAGCACCATGATGATGACGGGAAATATGTTACGTGCTTACCTGAATTTGGCTTTTGCAATTATTTTTCTGGCCTCTTCATGTGTGCTGCCCACCAAAGAATCTTTATTGATAGCGATTAGTTGGTCACCAGGTCGGAGCCGACCATCCTAAACAAAGGAGGAGAAAGTCAGAGCACTGGGAAGGAATGTCCCTCTGCCCAAAGCCTTCTCCTGCAACACAAATGATCATTGGTCCGTGCAATGCATTATTCATTTATTCTCAGAAAAGCTGCTTCAGAACAGCTACAGCTTCTAGGAGAGGCCCCCACTGCAAAGTCGCTGAGGGTCTCTGCACTGACTTACCTTGTAACAGTCACCATCTGGCATAAGCTCTTGAACATAAATCATGGGGCCATCAGGCCTGTTAGATCCACCACTGATTGTCAGCCCTAAGCCGGAGGATTTTGCTATAGAAATGCTCTGGATTCCTGATTCAATGGAGTAGCTGCAAGGGAGAGATGTTAGCAGGTGACTCGAGGTGATCTGGTTTATTTTCCCATGTCGCTGAACAAACTCTGCCCGGCTTTCTTTCCACGCGTGATCCTTCTAACTTCTCCCAACCTTTTCTGTCTCTGCACCTTTTCTTCCACCCAACCTTGGAAAGAGGAGGTGAGGACTCCCGTTTCTTAGCAGACGTTGTTCAGCATTATGAAGATGACTGGCTTGCATAATCTCAAATGCTGGGGAATACTCGTTTGCATTTAGAAAATAAAGAGAGAAGAAACTAAAGGTTTAACCAGAATATATTTGGCATTCCTGTTTTTTATAGGCAAAAGCATATAAAGGATCAATGTGGTTATTGTTCAAATCCAGTTAAATCACCAGACAGCAATTTACAGATTGGTCAACTATTAAGCAGCCCTTCGCAAATGTCAAAGTGAAGCTCAGGATACACAGCTATGTCTTAACCAAGGTTTGGACTCAAAACCTTGTGAAATGCCCTAAGAAATGAGCCCTTAAGCACCTTTATAGCAACACCCACCACACTGTGATTTGCTTCTGTGGCAGTGGTACAGTCAAGGATGTACTGCGAATGGAGCAGTGACAAGGTTGGACCCTACCCTCAGAGAGCTGCCTGCTAGACAGGAGCCAACAGGCCACCAAGACCGGGACAGGGCAGGCGGCTCTGTGCAGGGAAGGAGGTTTAGCTATTGCAGTAAGAGTTTGTGGGACCAGAGATTTCACTGACCGCCCACAGGCTATTGGGAATGACTGGGCAGCATCGCAACAGGGAGGTCTTGGGGAAGGGTTCGGTGGGATCTAAGAGTCAGTAAGCCCTTTCCTTCTAGTGGCCTAGGTGCAACTGGCATTCCTCCTTTTCAGTTTATTTCCACAGCAGCCACTCACCAAACGGTCTGCACTTCCTGGTCCTCCTTGTGTTATCTGATAAGACGCAACGACAGCGATGCATCCCGTGCCTCACAGTGACACCAGCGCGTAACCGCCATGTGCTCCTCAGCAGTGCCATCCCCAGTGGTCAGACACCTCAGTGACAAAGCAGTGTGCTGCCAGCACCCCCCAAACCGGCAGCGGGCCCCCGGGAGAGCCAGCTGGCTATACGTGGGAAAGGGGCTGCATTCATGCAGCATGCGTCTTAGTCTTACGGAAAAACACTGCTCTAAGAAATATTTTAGGAAAACGATGTCACGAAATTTAACATTAAACCCTTCGTTCAAACCAAAATATCAGACCCTATCTGTGGCGAGACTGAATCATATCTGGGTCCTGTTGCTCAGTGGGGTGGCAGGACCTCAGATGACACTGCAATGAGAGGTCACAGCCTGGGGACAACCTGTGGTGAGCAGAAGGGATGGCAGCCACATGCATGAAAAGACCCATGGCCCAAATTACAACTCTGCAGCTGACCACCGATGCTCAGCTACAATCAACGGTCTGCGATTTCAAATGGCTCATGCTGCTCCCAGGAGAAGACCACTGGGGCCCGGCACTGGCATGGAGACAAGCAGAACATGGCACAGTTTGGCAGCGCTGAGCGAGGAGGCCACCAATTCAGGTCCCCTCTAGCCTATATCGCAGCCTGGAGTGGGTTAACAGCAGAGCAAGGATGTCTAGTTTGTCCAAACCAGCTGCCAAGTAGATGAGCTGGCCTCTCCTCTGTAAGGGTCTCTCCATGCAAGCAGCTTAAATCTCTGGTGCCAGATATTTGTCCTCTGCAAATCCCTAATAAAGAGCTGGTATTTAGCAAGAGGATTTACTGGTTCTGCAGTGAGGGATGATTCTCTTTGCCAACATAAACAAGCCAAGTCACTGGTAAAGGAAGGGAAGCTGCAAGCCCTGGGGACAAATGGTCCCAATTCCACGACGGTTAACACCCTTCGAGCTGTCCCTCTTGAGAAGGGCAACCCCGAGCACCCTGGAGACGAGACTCCGCAGAAAAACAAGCTCTGCCTGTCCAAACCTCTGACCCTGTGAAATATGAAAGGGACAGATGACCACATGAAAACACATGCTCCAGGAGATGCTCTGGAGACAAAAGGATGCAATGTCTGTAGGTAACTGCTGTTGACACCAAAGCAAAGGGTGTCAGGAATGTTTGCATCGAGAGGGCAGTGCTTGTGCTCTTGTTGCATGATGTCAATGCGCCAGAAGCAGGGCAATAGAAAACAAGCTCCTGAAACACATTCCAAAAGCACCACTGGCCTCGCAGAAACACTCTGCTCATGACATGGTTTATAAAGGTGCTGTGCAGGCTCCTCTCAGCTGGCTATAAGCCACGGCTTCTCCCCGGGTTTCAGAGGGGAGGAAGAGGAGCAGTTGCATTGTTAACCGTATTCCAGACATACTGACTGCCTCAACAGGGAAGCTTTTCAGCTCTTGGGCACAGGCTTCCCAGGAACAGTGAAGATGCCAGCACGACAAGGACTTCTAGAAGATGCTGTGGTCTCTTAGCCATTGCGGCGATACAATGGTATAGAAGACATAAGGGTGAACAAAGCAGTTTTCAAACACTGGAAGTATTTACTGGATCTACCCCTAAGACAGTGTTAGGCATTCGGTGATATCTTCATGACTGACCAAGGGACAGGCTTTGCGGGGCCGGCCCCGTGCGACCCATACGTACTGTGCGTGAGGGGGGTGTGCCGGGTTTCCGATGAAGGGTCCGTGGGAATTGGCGGGGCTCAGCAGCAGCGGGCTCTGAGAGCACGAGGAGGAGCCTGAGGATGTACTTTCCAGGTATCGACCTGAACAGCAAAGTCAGAGTCAGTCCAGGGAACGCAAATACTCCAGAATCACCTTCCTCCCCTGCTCTACCACTGAGAGCTGACACCATTTTTCCAGCTTTCTGGGGAAAACCACATGGTAGTTAAAGACATCAGTATATCGCTCATGGAGAGGAAACGTTCAGCCTCCTCAGCACAATTCCAGCATGGGACTGTCACCCCTCTGCCAGCCCTACATACCTCTGCCACAGGGGAAGGGGTTGGCAGCCTTCTGGAGGGATACCAAGCCAGAGGGACACATTCTTTCCCCATGCACACATGATTTGATGCGCTGGCACCTGGCTTAGGTTAACCTCCTTCCATCTCATTAAACATTTCCCATTTGCAAATGAAAAATAATGATGATTGAATGAACGATTGCTGAAATGCTTTGAAATCCATAGTAGAAAGCTGCACCTGCAGAGATGGGTATTGCTGGGGTTACCTGCCCAGCACATCAGTTAAGCAGAGTCTGGGGATCTGGGAAGCTGTTACAACCCCAACTCAGTTCTCCCTTCCTCACCCCAAGGAGGCTAGCTTACTGCCTCGCTTTGTGCTTGCTGTCTTGCTTTGTGCTTGCTCTGTGCGGGCAGGACTGGCCATGCCCGCTGCTCTGTGCCTGGGGACGCGCTAAGTGCTTGCAATAAGGACGAGCAGGACTCCTCTTCCTTCAAACCTCCACCCGAACACCTACACAAATCCAATCAAACCTCCTTTAAAATAACACTGGGATAAAGAAAACTCTCTCAGCAGAGAGAGGGGCTTTTGGTTTCCCCCCAAAGGCATGCTGAGCTACTCACTGCCGCCGTGCAGGATCGGTGAGCTCCGCGCTGAGCCTGTATTGCTCTGGGAGCCGAACTTCTCCAGCAGCTCAGAGAACTCTCTCCTGGAAACAAAGACACGGTATAGTCAGCTGCTGCTTAAAACTATTCCCCACCGGATTATATGACAACGGTGCCTCTGATGGCAGTGACACTACCAAGTCTATAGGGCCGATGCCCTCCAGCAATGGGGAGCAGACAGAGCTTTCTCATGCACAAGGGTATAATCCCCCTAGTTTCAAGAGGTTGTGCAAGACTTAAGGTCGATAATCAATCTCATGGCAGTGTAGCTTTCCTGCGATGGGCTGGAACTTCAGTGTGCTCCTTCACTGCCCTGGAAAGCGTTCAGGGTGACCATGGGCAAGAGGAGCTGAGAAGGGACATATGGACAGGCACTGGTGACGGGGACTGTCCTTCCTGAGAGAGGGCAGATGAGTGCAGGAGCCCTGCCTTGCACCCTGCCCTGCACCCCTGCCTTGTGCCCCACTGCTTGGACCCTCCCAGGAATCAGCTGGAATAATTTCACCCCCAGCTATAAGGCTCAGAAGTTTTGCTAACAGACCAGACAAATTAAACAGACTCAGAAGGAGCTGTAACTATGCAACCATAAAACAAAAATGCTTGGCCTATTTGTGACTCCTTCCAGAATAGTTAAATGTAGATTATTCTCTGTTTTTCCTCCTCCTTTCCTAGACAGAAAGCAGATCCTGCTAGCTCTTGCTGGGGTAAAGATGGGAGATGGCTTCTGGAGCACATGCAGAAGCAGCAGCCCACTCTCTGAATCCATCCATGGTGATATCCTCCATGAACATCGCAGGATAAACTCTTGGAGCATACGACCTTAACAAAGACCTGCACTTGTAAAGCATGCTGGGGCAGTGCAGGCTTCTGTACTCTTCCCAGCAGCTCACAGCTGAAGATGCTGAACCAGGCACATGCTGAATTTACAGATACCAAGATCAGAAGGGCTTGTCGGTGAATTCAAGAACAGGGAGGAATGGCAACCCACAAACATTCAGCACGATCCGTCTGTCTTGAGGTAACCCCCCTGCTTCCTATACTACCTCTCTGTAAAGCAATCTCATCCACTGCCTCCCCTGGAAAGCTGGCTTGGTGCCCGAGTGCCTTCATTAATGCTTTGCTCCCAGGCTGCGTTTGACCACCATATAACTACCCAAGTGCATTGAGTCCTTGATGAGCTGTAACTACCTGCACACAACAGGCGGATTGCTGCACAACCTTCCTCTTCCCAAGTGTGACATGTTGAGTTCTTAAACCGTTACGAACCACGTTTACCAGCTCCTGCCTCATTTCTGTAATCCTTCTTTGAGCTGCCTTGAGCCTCTCACATCCTTTTGGATGAGGAGGCACGGAAAGGGGATGCCATGTTCAAGCATCAGCCTCCTGTTCCCCTCCCTGCCACATTGGCTTGTTGGGCAACATGGCTCCCAGGAGCAGCACGCTGTGCGACTGTGCAGTCTTCTCACTTCTTAACCCAACACTTCTGGATCAATCCAACCTTTTGGCAGAGAGAAGAGCCTCAAGGATGACTAATTTCTTACAGGTGTCATTAAACCAGCAGCCAGGCAATGGGGAGGGACCCTGAAAGTGTTTCTGTGGCCACAGTAACAACATTAGATGTCCACTTTGAAGGCATGAAGGAATTTCCATGGGAAGGTGCCTTCTTGATGCTGTAGCCACAGGAAAAGCCTGGTTATGAGTGGCTAGCTCTCACACTTGACAGTCAGAAAAGCTCAAGACATAAATCTGTAGGAAACCAGCCACAGCAAAGTTTCCTCAGCGAGGAGACTGCTCTTACACACAAGCAGACGATGTGTCATCTGTGTACTTTACCGGGATAGATGTTATGTATCATTGGCTAGATTAGAGTCAACAACATTAAATGATGAATGAATCATCAGCTCCTTAGGTTCCTGCTGGAAATGCTCTCAGTAATTTACATCTTCCCATTAACAACCTGCTCATTAACAAACTTCAAAGACCAGTGCCTGCCTTATCTAATATTGCCATCAAATGTATGCCTTATTTATTCCATTTAATGCTAATTTTAAATCCAAGTGTCACACAATACTTAGTGGAATGCCTTGGTGAATCCCAATACTTTGCATCAACACTATTGTCTTATCAACTAAACCCATGACCTTAAAAAAAGATGACTACTTTGTTCAAAAACCCCACCTTCCACAAAACTGTTGTAACTAGCAGTTTCATAGCGTTAGACACTGAAATAGATGTAAAAGCACTGAGAAAGTGGAAGAACAACTTAGGTGCTATAGGAGTAGGACGGCGGTTTGCCGTTCTGTGGTTCCCTGGGTTAAGCCTTGGATGGATCTTACCTTAGCAGAATTTTTTCAATTAGCCTCTGCATTTCTGTAGGTGATTCACACTCCCGTTGCACTGGTAACTCACGCAGCGATGGCCTTATCCCTCCATGACCTGTTGCAATGTCAGGTCTAACTTGCTGGAAGCTAACGTATTATTTCCAGTGGTTACCAAGCCATCAGCAGCTGGGCTTTTGTTTTGGGCTGGGTGTTTCTGTGGTCATCTGTTGTTACATTTTCCTCAGATAATAATCCATCAGAGCACAGAACAGGTCATGAACTTAAAACAATGGCTAAAAAACTCTTAGTCAATGCAAATGTAACTAGTCTGGCAGCTCTTATGCTCTTTAAGCCCTCCTGAGCAACTCAAACCCAATCACCGATCCATGCTGTCAAACTCTCTTATAAGCAAGAGCAGGTACGACTTGGGCATTCTTTGTTGTTGTTTATTTCATGTCGTCAAGTTCACCCACAAAGCAGTATTTATCATTATTTCCTCAGGAGCCTGAACGACGAGCTCCGAGCCCAGGGTTGCTTTGCTGTAGCGACGGTGTGACTAAATGCTACATCACGGGCGACTGTCCCGGCTCCTGCTTGTTGGTCAGTACTGCAAACCCTGGTTTCACCAAGGACATAAACACATGACTAACTTGAAGCACATGCTTATACCCAGCAGCAAGCAATACACTTTCTGGTGTCAATCCCTCGAGAATTAATTTTGTGCTCAGTGCTGTATTTGAAGGAATTTGCAAGCAGGCAGACGATGCCCAAACTTTGCCAATTAATGAACAAGTACGCTGAAGGAATGCCAACAGGTCTTGCTTTGTGCTTTCAGACACCAAAAGATTTCAGGAGATGTCTTTAATATTTAAAATTTGACCCTTACTAAAACATTCTGAATTGTCAGGTGCCTGCAGGACTAAAATGCCCAGCTTTATTTAAAAAAAAAATAATCATGGGGTTGTATTAAGTGGAAAGTTCATTTTTACAATCCCTTCTCCAGCTCTTTTTCATTGAAGATGCAGACATTTGAGGTCTGGAGGATCCCTGTGACAGAGCTCGCACCCGCACAGCCTTCAGCCAGCCCCACGGGGTGGAGTGGGATAATGGGGTTTGCCAGCAGCAGCCAGCTGTAGGCCGACTTTGCTGCAGATTAAGCAGGGGGGGGGGGGCAATCTTCCTGCAGAATATTGTTGTTTTATCTCATAATGCCTTTTTGCCCTGCCCTTTTGTTCTTGGGAGAACAAAGGGTGAATCCTACATCAAAGGTTATGTGACAGCATAGCGTCTGGAAACCTCAGCTTTGCACCACAGCTGGGGGAGAAAGAGGAGCCTGTGACACCAGATAAATTAATAGCTTGTCTCAAAAAAACAAAGCCTTCAGGTCAGTGGGAACTGTGAACCCAAAGCACTGCAAAAGCATCACAAAAGCAGATTTTCTCGCGCCCAGCACCCAGCAGCTGCAGCATTTCCACCGCTGTCCGGGCAGGATGATGCTCTGGAGCAGCAGCTCCGGCACGAAGCCCAAGTCTGGGAACAGGGACAGGGACAGGGCTGTGCAGAGCCAGCACATCCCGAGCTGTGAGCCCTCCCGCGCTGGCTGTGCTGGGCAGCACATCACGCCGCTGCTTGTCTTTGCTTTTTCATTAATGCCTAGGAAGCGGTGACATGCACAGGTGCATCTCGGCTTCTCTGTAAAAGGATGTGTGCTTTTCCGCAGTGACCCTGGGACACCCCAGGCTTGCAGGAGTCAGCCCCACCACTGCCTTCCAGCTTAGCACCAAGTGCACCAACAAACCCGTGGGCTGAGCCGCCGCTCTCACACGCAGGGCTCACCGGAAAAAAGGGATTACCTTGCATTTGTACCAGGCTGGGCATGAACTCCAGCAACAGCCTCTCTGCTGGTTCCTGGATATTGGTTGACATTGGTTGTGCATTTGCAGAAAAGCAGACTGCTTTCCTTACGGCTTGTTGTGCAAGCCCTATTTATACACCAACCCATTTTCACCGAGATGACTGTGCATATCATGCGGAGATGCAATGTATTTAGCATTTTATCATGCAATTACTAGGAGGGGCAGTGCAGACAGGCTTTCTCGCTGTCATAAACCTGAAAGACCAGGATGATATCTGTGCAACGCACAGAAACAGGGAACTATTGTAACTTTCAGGTTGAGAATGAATAAACAATAATTATGCGTATGCAATAAAATTATCCTCATTAGCTAAAGGTGAGCACAGACGAAAATCAGATCCAACCATCATCCAGACCCAGCGTGTCCAGCTCTAAATCTGAATTTTCTGCTTTAAGCCCTAGCATTACTGCTGCTCTCTGCAGCATGTCTGATGCGACAGGCTGAAAACATGCATCTTATACACGCCAGGACTGAGTTCCATTAAGAGCACAGGTAATTAGGGCCTATAATTAACTCCAGGGACAAATAATAGCGTTTATGACTCAAATTCACCCAAGGGCAACCACAACAAAATGCTACTCAGCTGAGTCATTGGGAAAATTGGCAGGCAGGTTGAATCGTCTTCCAAACCCGGAGTCATTATGTTTCCTCCTCCAGCGTGCCTTGTGCGCTCAGGGTTTATGAAGACGACCTGCATGCGAGTATCTGCAAATACTCTGAATTACACTCCTCCCCGTGTCATTCTCTTGGCTTTCATGTCTCGTGAGCCGTGGGTATCACCTCCAGAGCTGACAGTCCCCGGGAAGTCAGAGAGCCCGGTTCAACCCAGACAGAGGGCTGTCTGCTCGCCCACGCTCAAGGACAGATTTAAAGGATAATAGGGCATCAATAAAATAAAGACAAAACTAAGGAGAAAAAAAAAAGTAGAAAGCAGAAAAATCCTTCCCCTGTTGCCACAGCCCTTAATCCTGGAGATATGTATTTGTGTATTAAACAGTTTACGAGATGATTATGTAAGTGAAATCTCTGCAAATCTTTTAAAAAAAGAAAATAAATAAACTGATTACTTCCCCACTCACCCACGGGCTAACCTTTTGCAGATTTAACAGATAACCAATAGCAAATGGAGGCCAAAGAAATCGCTTAAAGTTTCGTTGCCCTCCCAGTCTCCCTCGGTCGGTTTACAAGCAGCTCCTCCGCAGGGCGACTGGGGACTGCGGACAGATGCACGAAGGAGCTGGAGCTGCCGACAAAGCCACGTGTGCCTATATTTTAAGAAACATCTGGTGCAGTTTAAGATATTAGGACGCACACCGAGATGCCTGAACGGCTTGGAACAGATCGGCATGGGTGAAGGCAGAAAACCTGCTTTGGGGGCTCTGGCTGAGAAATAGAGCGTTTCCCTGAGCAAACCCTGCTGCTGCTGGGCGCAGGGAGCTGCTGAGCTGCGGGAACCCATCCCTCCTGCTGGGGACCAGCCCTGGTAACAGCCACCCGGAGAGGGGACAGCACGAGATGCCCACTGCCACTTCCACCCCTAAGGCAACACAGGGGACCACTGCGGCACAGAAGCGCATCTTGCGCAACCTTACTCGGACCGAAAGAGGGTCAAACTCCTGAGTCTAGCTCTGGTGACCTGCTCACTTCACCCAGTGCTTCCTCAGCAGCTGCTGAAGGACTTGCAGTTAATGTAATAATTTGAGGTGTTATTTTCACTGAGGGAGGTAAAAAGCAGTCCATCATTAATAGCAAATAATTCTTCCGCCAGAATATTACTGTGTCAAAATTAGTCTCATCCCTGTCATTACAGCACTCTCGCTATTCTGCTAAGGCAGTAACGCTCCACAGCTGCTGATGGATAAGGAATGAAACCATCATCTCTGACGCTAACGGGATGCGGGTACGTTGAGCAAACGACTCTGTGATCTTCAGGCACCCACACACAGTACCAAGCCTCGGCGCCACCAGCCTGCCTGCCCACGACCACAACTCTGCCTAAACCCGCTCTCATTTCAGTGGTTCCTGGTGCACCTCAAGTTTCTATTCAGCAGGGAGAGGATGCTGCAGCACATTGCACCAGATCTCCCAGGGGATGCGAGCAAAGGACCCCACTAATCCCATACCTCGGATTCCACAACCCTGCCCTCTCTCATGACACCATCATTGTCCCACACAGCTTAAATCCAGCCAAGACAAAACTGAACTCTTTCTTTCTCCTTTTGAATCCTCCAAGCCTCTCTAGAGAAAGCGTTTTCCGGGGAGCAGTGAGGGGAGAGGTTTCAGGAAGAAACTGCTTGTCCTCCCTGAGAAGGAGGAATCCTCTGGGGAAGGAAGACACGTCTAACTGGAAAGGAAAGGGAAGATCCTGCTGTCCTTCTGTGTCTTCATCTAAAGCTCTGTGCAGGACGTGATAAGCCATAGGCAGCTCAGCACCACACAGCAGAGCTGAAGGAGCCTGTGCCACCCTACAGCCGAGGCTGGAGCTGCCCTGGTCCTTGCTGGGGAAACGCCTGCAGAAGTCTGCTCGATGCCGGGATGCCCAACGGACCCAGCACAGGCTGGGCTGGAGCCAGGTCTGCAGCTGGGAGCCACCAGCTTTGCTTCCCTTCCCATTACAGCTCCAGCGTGTTCCCACCAGTGTACAGTTATCAAAGACCCTTGGCCACCTCCGTCTTCACCATGGGCTTTGAGCCCGGTTAGCTCAAAGGCAGCCCAGCTACGGTGCTGATGAGTGCTGCCGATCCCCCTTCCTGGCGCGAGATGACACCCCTTACCTGGCGTCGTCATCGCGGGTTATAAGAAGGCGCATGTGGCTGGTGGCTGACGCCGTCCTCAGGATGTCCACAGCCCTACGAGACAAGGACCACAGCACGTCAACGCCGGCTTGCAGCGATGCTCCACCGAGCTCGCCCAGCCGCGTGTCAAAGCTCACAGCAAACTGGGCAGAGACCCATGGCCTGGGCAAACCCCATCAGCAGCCAACTGACTTTTTTTTGGCTGGACGCCTGTGGAGCGGCCCCATTCCCTGCCCTGGCAGCAGGGCCGGAGGGCAGCCAAGTCGCAGCCTGATGAATCTTCTGCACTAAATTAGAAGTCCCCAATAACAAAGCAGACCCAGAAGACGCACGTGACAGTGAGCAAATACCTCCCAGCACATCTCCTCCCTCGGGAAGTTTCTGCCTCAGAGATGACCACTTTCTGGTTGAAAATCCACATGTCCCTGTGGGAGTCAGGGCAGCGCGGGGGGGACAGACGCAGCCTCCCTGCAGCTGCAGAGATGTCCTTGGGGACCTCCTTCATCAAACCTGGCCGCTCTGGGGGTTTTGGGAGCAGGAGAAGCTTCTCGTGCTGCTTCCCAAGCATCCATCCAGCCTAAGCACGCCATGCAGCCGGGCAAGGCAGCAGTGGGCTAGCACCACGTTTAATGGAAAAGGGGTGCCTCAAAAGTGCGGTACTCCTCTGGATCAGTTAATTATTTTCTTGGCAGGGAGCTGAGGGTCTGGATTGCAGCTCCAGAGGGAATTCCTGGCTAATCTCTGGCGCTGGGAGCTGCGAGGCTTGCTGGGAAGCTGCAGCAGATGGAGTGGGGGTGCCAGGAGCTGTTAAAAACCCAGCATTTTGGGGAAATGTCTGAATATCTCACAAATACAGTTTGGGTTCACTGGTCTATTTTTATATAGAAGCTTTTCATTTGATAATTCCCGAGTTGGCTCTCAGGAACAGCACTGCCTGCATCAGAGTGCAGACAAAGCGATGCCCTGGTGTCCTCCATGCAACCTGCAACCTAAGCCACTTCACAGAATTATACAAAAGCAACAGGAATGCAAAATTTCTGTTTGGATATGGTACCTCTCGCTTGTAACCCCAATTAAGGAATCTCCATTGACTTCCAGGATCTGGTCACCTGGCTGCAGGCGCCCTAGAAAAGAAAACTAATGGATAGAAACTGCAGAAAATACAGCTTGAAGGGACTGGAAGAGGTTGGACAGTTTCTCCCTTTGCCCAGAGACAGGATGAAATATGCATAGGTCGTTCCTGAGATGCTCATCCAACCTGTTTTTCAAGATGTCCATAGATGAAGTTTCTGCAACCTCCCTGAACAACCCGTGCCGGCGTTGCAGCACTTCCTCTGCTGGAGGAAGTTACAAAAGTAAATGCTGAGAAGTGCAATAAAGCTTTTACTTAATTCAGTTTGAGGTCAGGTAGAAAACCACGAGTGGCACGTCCACCTGTTCTGGATTTATTTTTATTAGATGGAAAAATGATGTTGTAACATTTGAAAAAAAAAATATCTTTCTGGCTTAAGTTATGAAAGGTGAACTCTGCAGAGCCCTGCCTAACACCTCCTTATTTGAAGACGCTCAGGATGAAATCAGTGGCCTAGAGCAGAGCTGAATTTGCAAAAGGATCTCCAGCCATTTTGGGGCTACAGGCAGTCAGTGGCACGTGGGAAAGGACAGGCAGCCAAGTGAAGTTCTTTGTGTGGCAGGGATGGATCCTGCTTTAAAGACATGAGGCAATCATACATACGCTGAGAAGCCAAGGCAAGGCTGCCGTCGGATGTTACAATGATTGCCACAGTAAAAAAATACCCCCACTGCTGGAAAATATGGGAGGAAGCACCTGAAATGTCTGATAAGGCAACATATAAAATAAATACAGAGTCTTTTGGCTTGTCCCAGACTTTGTGGCACTCTGCACCACGTTTAACTCACCGTCCGCGTAAGCAACACCCCCTGGAAGGATCCTCTTGACATAAACTCCATATTCTTCTCCGGTGAGTTCCTTGATGCCACCAATTACCTTAATACCTGGAAGAAGAGAAGTGCCCGTCACACAAAGACACAAAGAAGCGCAGTTTCCATGGGCCGTCTTGGAGGGACGCAGCCTCCGGCACAGCTCCCAGGCACCCCGGCACCGCCTGACACCCCTTTTAAAAACCATTTGTGGAAAGTCCCATGTATCCCCTGCACTACACAAGCAGCAGCAGAACAGGATGCGGCCACTGACACAACACAAAGGCTAAAGGCATCTGATAGCATCTGCTCGGAGCAACAGCTACGGAGACAAAGCTTCCGAGAAAGGCATAGGCAAGGAGCGACCACCTTCCCCAACCCAAAGTTCATCGCTTGCAGTTAAATCGGTCACTGATGGGTGACTGTGCTCATGTCTCTGATAAGACTTGTCATAGGAAACATTACTGGGGACACACGTTTGCCCCAGGAGACCCCCTTTGAGGTGCAACATCTGGACAAGCCCCAGGTTCAATACAGTGATGAGAACATCCCTGCTGCAAGCTCGCCCGCCTGCCAGGCTCCAGCAGCATCTCCACCGCAGCCTTTGAAGCTGCCACCGATGACAGAGCTGGACATCAGGAGCAGCCACTTTTTATCAGTGTTTGAACCCAGGAGGAGCAGCCCAGAGGCAGGAGCCAGGGTGCAGAGATGACCTTTGGTGCGGCTCTGAAACCCCCCGTAGCAGCACCTTGGCAAAGGGCTCTCACGCTGCACAGCCACCTCTCTAGCCACGGGACCTCTTCTTGTTGGCGTGTGCAAGCTGGCTGGCAGGAAAAGGCCCAAGAGACTTATTTGTCCAGGGCTCATTAAGTCCTGCTTTGAAGATCCGGGCTGTGGACAGAAGGATTAAAAAGCCCGGCCTTAATTAACAAATCTCTCCCGAGAGCTGCTGGTCAGGCATTTTGCCGCTCTGGACAGGAGGGCATGTTGAGGACAGGCGACACTGCAGAGGGAGGCACTGCCAGCGTGAAGCCAGCTTCATCCTCTGGCTGCTGTCCTGGGGTGATGAGCTGCTCTGAGCCTTGGTGGGGTCCTGGGATGCACGAAGTGACCCCGTGCGAGAAACGCCTCCCTCAAGGGGAACAGAGCACAGCTTCTTCCCCAAAACACGAGACCCCTTTCTGGAACGAGCAGGAGGGAAGAGGAGTGGACCCTGGATTGGGATTACTCAGGACAACGGCACTATTTCCATCCCTAGTTCCCTTCCCTTTATAACCCAAGCTCTGCTCTAAGGACCCTTGCAGTTTTCAGCTACTTTCGGGGAAAGACCTTGTCTCTCAAGTCACCTTACATTAAAACTGTGATTAAAAACAGATTTATCTCCATTTTTCATTTCATTCCCATATGCACCAATTGCTGCTTCTCCCAAGCACAAAACCCCAGCCCCATCCAAGTGCTGAAGTTTATTCCCTGGGCTTGATGCCTTAAACCACCCATCCCCCGTGTGCCCGGGAGGAGCTGTTTTACTGATGGCAGCGGGAACTCATGGCAAAACACCTCAGGAAAAGGCACCAATGTTGTTCTCCATTGCATTTTTTAAGAAATTCACTAGAATTGGAAATACTGCCCAAAAGAGGTATCTCCGAGCGGCGCGAGCCTCACCAAGGCATGGAGACAGGTCAGGCGCCTGCGGACCAAAGTGGGGAAGAGATGCTGCAGCCTCAAAGCCCAATGACAGAAGGTAAAACCTGCTTATCGCTGAGGGTGCTCGGCTGGAAAGCTTCTCGGCTCCCGACCGGGCTGGGGTGGCTGCTGGTGGGCTTTGCCACCGGCTGGCAGAGAGACCCTGGAGAGCAGGCTTACACTTGAGATGGGTTTGGGAAACCCCTTGCATGGGGGGTCCTGCAGAAGGAAAGCCCCATCGGTTCCCCTGGACGGGCGGACACTGGAAGTCCGGCTTAAGCCAAGGCGATGACTCAAGAAGTTGTCATATGTCTTTCTTCACACCGGAACATGAAGTAATTAGGAATGATAAAACGCATTAGACAAATCATGTAAAAATCTGCATCTCAGAAGAGGCGCAGCTGTTGCATCACGCAGCAGCCCAACAGGACCTGCTTGTGACAGGCTCCTCTGCCGAGGTATCAAATCAATAATGACTCATTTCCCTTTTGTGTCCACAAATCAATTGTAATAATGGTTTAATATAGCTGAAGTATCTACAAATCCTCCTTTATCCCCAACGATGTCAGGAGAAAATCCGATCTTGTTATTAAAATTGGTGATTACTCACCGTATTGCTCCTGGAGACACTCAAACTTTGACGGCGGGGAGGAAAAAACCCTGACTTTTAACCCGCTTGTTGGCAAACCAGCTGGGTGCTGGCAGGCTCTGCCCACGCTGCCCTCCCACCCATCGCCTTGCCGCGGAGGCACTGCAGATGCCAGTCCTGCCCCACGAAAGATGCACCGGGGAGTCCCCACTAGGGCGGGGAGGAGGAGGAGGAGGAGGAAGGGCTCACCCCTGCCAGGGCGCGGACCCAGCCGTGGGACAGCCTGGGACTGATTGCAACAAACCCGAATCATCAAAGACTGTGGTGGTAGCATTCCTAGGAGTCTTCATATTTTATAAACACTTACTTCAATCAAATTTATATTTGGGACCCAGTGTAGGTACATAACGGCTCTTTAATTATCACAGCATCAAAGTCCCGCTTATTAAGTCATACTTAGGGCCAGATAATCTAGCCTATTTTGGATCTCTCTCTTTAATCTTTCCTGTCTGGCAAAGGTCCTGGAGCCGATGCCCATGTCCCCAATATTTTCTCTTTTGCGGAATAAATGTTTATGGGGAAACTCCAGGTGGGCATACAGGTTAGACTGACCAAGACGGTGTTTTCTTGAGATTCCTAGTGATCCTATAAATTTCTTCTAGACCCTCGAGCTTCTCTGGCACTTCTAATCCTGCTCCCACTAATGCCAGTGTCACAGCTCTCAACTTCTCAAGCTATAATCTCAACTGCTCCCGGCTCCCTGTACCACGGGTCAAGAGGTGTCCTGGCTAATCTGGTTGTTTAGCCCAACTGTAATCATCTCCGGCACATCCCGACCCCACCAGCCGCTGTGCCGCACTCCCAGCGGTCTGCACGGAGAGAGGCTGCCCGCTTTGTGCCTAAGCCAGCAATGTTCAATTACATTTCCCTTAATCCCTCTGTTGATCTTGCAGCCCCGGCCAGCTTTTTCTGTCTGGAGGAAGGGACAGATTGGACTTGAATCACTCACTGCCCTGTCCTAAGAAGATGAAGGTCAAGATAATGGGATCTCAGTGTTTCTGAGAAATGCTTCTTGATCAGCACTTCCCTTTGATGGCTATTCTTTAATTCAAAGTTCAGGTTTTAGGAGCCGCCAGGTAACCCCTTTGAACTTCTGCTGAGGTTCACATGTGGGTTTCCGCCTAAAGCCACAGAGCAGCAGACCCGGGGCCAAACGCTGACCTGCCACGCCGGAACCGAGCGGGCTGATGCTGCCCTAAAGAAATTCTGCTGGAACGATACCCTCATCTGAACATAAGAAACTATGGAGGCACCTTTTTTTTTCCCCAAAAAACCATTATTCTGAGCAGCTACACCTATGGCAGACACGGGGCTCCGGCAAGCACTGCTAGGTCCTCAGCAGAGAGGGGTGATTTCTGGAGGATGACTCAAGACAAGGTCTTGAGTGTTTCAAGCCTCACAAGACAGGATGAAGAAAGCTGATGACGGCATTAGAAAATCCACATCATTCCTGCAGCACATTGTAAGACCCTGTAGAGGGTCTGCAAGACCCCGCAAAGACCCTCTGGCCACAGACTGGGGGGAAAGGAGGAGTACTGGGACCCAGCAAAGTGGCTCGCAGTGGGCTGTAACGCCTGTGCACCTCTTCCAGAGCTCAGCGGCAGCCCAGTCAGGCTTTTCTTGGTCTCCTCCTTTAACAAGCTAATCTAACCCAATAGCTAAAATCCCATCAATTCAACCAAATCCACCTCTGGAGATTAAAATACCATATTCACCAAGCAAAGACATTTCTCTGAGCTCCTGTGAACATGATGAACAGAAGACCAGGGGAAGAGTCAAGCAAAGCCTTTCCTCCACAGCAGAAAGCCCCATTACCCAAGAGCTGGAAACAGCCAATAATGAATCTTAATTAATCTCAGGTCTCAGGAAACCTGACCTTGTTTCTCTGGTGAGTTTGACTTCTCAGGAGGGGTCCCCAAATGGTCACCCAGGGACCTTACCAAGGGGCCCGCAGCTGCTCTGCGGAATGATGGGCTGCACTGGTAATTAAAAGTTATGGAGGAGACTGCATGGTGGACCCCAAGAAATCCTGATGCAGGATTGCAATTTTTTATAAAGTCCATGAAAGAGCACCAGTATTTATGCTGCTGGATACACAGAGGTCAGATGAGATGCTATACCGGCTCCTTTTGGGCTGAGTTTCATGAACCTGCGGCTATTTCTCACGTTCTGATGGATATGACCATCTCTTTTCCCTTCTCTTCCATGCTTTGATGTTCAGAGCACCGTGGAAGGACGTCTGACTCGCTCGGTGCTCATACCCTTACCCATGGGCCAAACTTTCCAAAAACAACTCATACAGCCCGGTCCCCAGGAGAGCTGCAACGCCCTGCGTCGCCCGTTGGGGTGGCGTCCCGGGGGGCCCTGCCTGCAGCGGGGCAGAAGCAGAGCCGGCAGGGGCAGGCAGCTGGGAAGTGCTTGGGATTTTATTCCTTTTTTTTTTTTTTTTTAATTTTAAATTTTAATTTAATTAATTCAGCAGAAAATTCTGAAAAGCTTTTTTCCCCCGTCCTGCTCAGGGGAGGGGCTCTGGCCCCAGGCTCCTGCACAACTCTCAGCACTGCAGCTGCTCACCATCAGCAGGGAATTAGTCGGGATTTTGACCTTATTTTAACCTCCCAGCTGCAAAAGGTGCTGTCAGATGCTCGGCACAGGCAGGCACAAGGACCAGTATTTCTGTGAGATGTCAAACTTCACACAGGGAGGCACATCACGACAGGGGTGCTGAGGACCGGGGGGACGTTCGAGCTGCCCCAGCCCACCCCGATGTCCCTTGCAGAGATTCAGTACTCACCCAGCCCATTTGCACAGTCGTGGAAATCAAAGCAGTGCACGGTTCGATCCATCCCGTATGGTCCCATGAGCGTCCTGGGAGAGAGAAGAGAAACATCTTTCTCTCACAGGCTAAAATAAACAGATGCACAGGCGCCCAACCAACGTGTGCACAAGCACATCCTTACCACCACCCTGGATGTTGCCCCCAGAACGATGTAGACACGCAGGTTGAGGGACACGACCCCGCATATTAAGCCCACGCTGGCAAAAAGCAACACCCTCCCACCTCCCCCAAAATTTATACAGATAAATGAAAGAATATGTGCAGGGCTGGACATCATCCTCCCCACCCAGCAGATCTGATGGACCTGTCTGTGATTCATTACCCCAGATTAACGGGGCTGGACAGCTGTCCAGCTCCCGGGAAATGAGATCAGAGCTTGGACCAATGTTCTGGGAATAAACCAGTTTCACAAATGCAGACAGCCTGTAATGAAGACAGCCAGGCACGATCTGCTCCCAAGGTTTTGTAACGCAGGCAGTCTCCATCCCTCTGGCAGGGGGTCTGGAAAAGGTGGATGCAAGATCTGCTGAGCCGTTTCAAGTCCCTGCCTCACCAAGTTGAGGGTGGGAGCTTCTCATCGCAAGCCAAAGTGGGTGGAAGAGCATCGTACACCTGGGTTTCCCCCATGCCAAGTAACTCTCCCAACTGCCCCAGTCTCCCCGTGAACACCCGCTGGCAAGGTGGGTGTCCCAAATAAATGACACTGAAAGCTCCACTCTGCCCTAGCTGGGGACCCTGGACTCCAAACCTGGGACCACCAGCGTTTCTCCTCCTTGGGTGGCCCGTGGTGGTCACCCCCGTGAGGATGGATGGACATGAGGATGGGTGGACCTTGATCTGACAAACCCAGAGCCAGGCGTGGCAGGTGGGAAACCAGGGGTGAGGGGTTCCCAAAACACTCCACTTCCCAGGATTTAAGTCGCAAGAGAAAAGAAGTTTCTGAATCAATATTGAATCCCAAATCTGGATAAGGCTGAGGAGGGACAACACTGTGGGGCACAACAGGCTTATCCGAGTCCAGCGGGACGTAGAAGAGGAATAAACCTTGGGGACCACTCTTTGCAGGCATCCAAAATACCTCTCAAAATATCAAGCTATCTGCAAAGCCAGTAACACCCACCTCTAACATTCGGACTGGAAGCTTTTTCTCCTCATTAAAAATACGCCCTCCCTTGATACTTTTGCAATGTTTCACGTATTCAAGAGACTGGACAAACCACTGGCCACATCTGGCTGTCAGAAAATGGAGCCTGAAGGCGTCCCAGAGCAGCCCTGGGCCCAGACTGGTTCAATTTACCATCCAGGATTTTCAAAGTATTTTGAGTAAATCACCGAGGAAACTCTACCACGAGTAAACAGAAATAGCTCAAACCAGGCTGAAACGCGACATAAGGATGGAGGTTTCAGTAAAGCAGATGCCTACTTGATACGATCAACTTTTACACCCAATTTGATGCATGAATGGCGGAGCAGAACCGAGCTTCGCTAATGCTAGAGACGCAAGAAACCCAACAACAGGCACTAGTGATGGTGTTCTCAGCTCTTTCTGCTGCGCGCGAGCCGCCTCCGCCACCTAACCCTGGTCCTGGAGAAGCCACAGCAGATGACGCTTGGCTAGAGGTGGCCACCGGGACACCCAGGGCTGCCCTGTGCCCCCTCCCCAATTCCTGCCCCGGCTGCGGGGGGGATTACCTGCTGATGATGATGGCTCCCTTGTAAAGGACAGAGACGGTGGGCATCTTGCTGGCGGCGGCA